AGTCAACGATCGGTGAGTCGCATGCTTTAAAGTTCCTCCGGTTCCCATCATGTCGTAGGACGAATGGTCCGTAGCGACACGGGAATTGGTTGTAATTTTTATTTTTTGAGCGAGCATAGTGACCCACGAATATCACTGTATCATTTTATACAATGATAATCGTGCAAATTGCTTTTTTGTGTATTTTATGCCTTAGCTCAGGATAGGGTTTTCTTGTACATATTTACATATATAGATTTCGAGTTTAAAAATGTAGAGAAGTCGGATGACCCTCCGACTTCACAATACACTTTCTTTTTTATATGTACAAGAATTTATTTCGCGATGAGCAGATTTCAATATCAAAGTAATAAGCATGAATGCTATTAATTATTATAACTACTTACTTTGATAACGAAATCGCTCTTAAAATTGAAACGTCTTTCCGATTTTACTCGTGAAATTGGCATCAGTTTATTATATGGGCTGGCCCCCAGGCGGGTCGGTATTTGCTCTTCAAGCATTGTATAAAGTTCCCCTTTGGAACTTGAAATTCATTCTGTCACGTTCACGGTTCTTGACCCTAAACACTCATCATTCGCACTTCAGCCTCACGAACTCTATCACATAATCATTTATCCACCCACATACGCTTGTGTAATGAAATATTACCCCGTTAGGATTTTCAAGTTTAAGTAGTGTTACGACAAATTTTCAACGCGAGAGTAAATATTATCCCGTTCGGATTTTCAAGTTTAGGTAGTGTTGCGAAAAATTTTCAACGCGAGAGTAAATATTACCCCGTTAGAATTTTCAAGTTTAAGTAGTGTTGCGAAAAATTTCCGGCGCGAGAGTAAATATGACTATACACTGACTAGTATTCGGTGGGAATCCTTTTGGTTTTTATTTGATAAAATTAGTTACAAGGATTCCGCGGCATAAGACCGTGAACACCACCTCATGGGAGATAAAACCATGCATTACTAGGCCTTTGCAGGCACAGCCATAGAGTACGGAACATTTAAGTATGTTGCATTCCATACGCTAAGCTGTCTTAAAGTCCTTTTGCCTATACTATGGGCGTCCACCACTCGAACACGTTGGATGCAACGTGTTCGATGGGTGGGTAGCGCTCTTAGCGAAGGGGTGCACCCTGCCTGGGCCTAGAGCCTTAAACAGTCAGGGTGGGTGGTATGTAGCGTCGGGCGTAAGTCCAGGGGGCCTAAGAACCTCCGTTGCCAGCTGATATTAGCAGTGGACGAATGTTTGAGTCATATTTGCTCAATTTTGCTTTTCAGTATTTGCTCTTCAAGCATAATTTAAAGCTCCCCTCTAGTCATGTTGCTAGATCAGGATTTTCTATTTTAATTAGTGTTGCGAAAAATTTCCAGCGCGAGAGTAACTATGACGATGCACTTACTAGTATTCGGTGGGAATCCTTTTGGTTTTTAAACTCAATGTTTTATTTAATTAATCAAATTAGTTACAAGGATTCCGCGGCATAAGACCGTGAAACACCATCTCATGGGAGATAAACCCATGCATTACTAGGCCTTTGCAGGCGCAGCTTTAGAATACGGAACATATGAAAGTATGTTACCATATTCTAAACTGTAGTCCTTTTGTCTATACTATGGGCGTCCGTCAATCTGACACCGTTGGATGCAACGTGTTGGACGGGCGGGTAGCGCTCTTAGCGAAGGGGTGCATCCTGTCCTGGCGTTACGACGTCCAGGCGGGGTGGGTGGTATGTAGCGTCGGGCGCAAGTCCAGGGGGCCTAAGAACCTCCGTTGCCAACTGATATTAGCAGTGCACCATGTTTTATGTCATAGTTACTTAATTTTGCTTTTCTGTATTTGCTCTTCAAGCTTTATATTTGCAAAGTCAAGTCACTTTTATTAAAAATAAAACCCCCTGGGGGGGCTAGCCCATATACTAAATCGGAGCCGTGAAATTTCGCCGATATTCTTACTATTAATAAAGTGAGGATATCATCTTTAGTTTTTGCTAATCATACGTTTTAGCTTAGGCATTTCAGCACACGTGAAGAAAACTGGTAGGTGAAAATACCTTTGGCCTTGTTCATTTTTATGCCCAAAGCTCATTCGGGTACTTAGATGTACTCGCGTGGGTGGAGGGCGGTGGACAAGGTTTAGTTTTAAGTGTAATACATTTTGGCGACTGACAAAAGTAGTGAACCAATAGTGAACCACGATAGAAGTTCCACATGTGTGTGTGTGGTTAGGATGTGGGATTTGTATCGTTTATTAACAATCTTAACTTACTATAACATTACAAAATACTTATCAAGAATAAATTGAAAAATTTTTACATTAGATAATTCAATAGAATACGAAAATGAAATGTATTACTTTAGCATAATGTTCACTATTATTTGTCAGTCGATTTCAGCAAAAAGGTATGATTTTATTAGAGTGTGAAAGTTGAATTGAACTCGGGTGTCGGAGGCGTCCCGGGACGTTCTCCCTAGGTGTAGGCATTTTTGCACCCGGGTGGTTGTATGAGAACCGTGGAGTGAATTTTTGTGAGAATGATTTTTGCCCTTTTTTAAATATAGCGATAGGCAGGCAGGTAGTTTACTTCTGGTGTGATTGAGTTTAGTTTATAAGTAGGCAGGGCCAGAGCAAGCTTTCATGTTTCTCTTCGTATTCTCCTCTAATACGTGAGAAGCTTGTATCTGGGGTTGGGAAACCAAAAATCAAGAGAAAAGATGAAAATGCAATTTAATTAATTTATCAATTAATTAATTTAGCATTCTCTCTTGATTTTTTTAAGGCCAAGCCTTATTAGTTTGTAAGTCGTAGTCGTGGTACTAGACCCGATTACAAAAATGAAGTATTAAAGTGAAAGTGCAGTGAAGTGAAGTGAAGTGAAATTAAAAAGTGTTTTGTGCTTGGACATTTGCAAAAATTGTGCAGGTATGCGAGTAGCGATTCAAGGGATCGTTGCTCGTTTACGTGTTACGTTTTTACAAATGTCTAAGCAAACGTAAAATTTTCGCGAGTGATTTTTGTGAGGCTATTGCCGAAGAAAGAAGAGGCTATATGCTGAAGAGCCCCGGCAAAATTTGCCCAGAAGAGGGGAACTACTAATGGCTCTCCATCTTCGGATGGACAGTCATTCTGTCACTATGCTCGCTAATTTGTTTTTTCATTTTTTGTGTTTTTCCTTGAACGGTATGAATAATACCGTCCAGGACGTATTGAACTCGACATTTTACGAGTTCGTTGAATGGTCAACTCGCGATTTTATTTCCCCTATTTCTTTTTCGTTTATTGCTTTATTGAAATAAATTATTCTTTTCTTATTGATTTGCACATCTATTATATTTCATGTTCTTATTTTAATTATGTTCTATTTATTTAAAACATACCCTGAGATTGTAATGGTAATTATATTTTCTATTGTCGGCATTTTTCATTTCAATTGTAGTCGAAATTATGATGTTAATTATATTTTCTATTTCAGCATTTTATTGTTGAATTATTTTTTAATTGTTACTGAAATTATGATGTTGATTATATTTTTTATTTCAGCATTTTATTGTTGAATTGTTATTTTGTTAATTGTTACAGAAATTATGATGTTAATTATATTTTCTATTTCAGCATTTTATTGTTGAATTGTTATTTTCTCAATTGTTTCTACTATTAGGATGTTAATTCTATTTTCTATTTCAAGATTGTATTGTTTAAATTTTTATTTTATGTTGTCTGTTTTTAATGGTTTCACGTTATTGTTTATCTAATCCTAATAATTATGTTTTCCGTTACAGCATTTTATTGTTAAATTATTATTATTTTCTCAATTGTTTCTGATATTAGGATGTTAATTTTATTTTCTATTTCAAGATTGTATTGCTTAAATTTTTATTTTATGTTGTCTGTTTTGAATGGTTTCACGTTCTTATGATTTTAGGGTGGGTCACTAACGTAGCCACCTCCACGTGGTGTGACCTGGTAATTGATATCGTTTTCTGAAGATAACTTTTAGAAAGCGATATCAAGCTAAGAGCTACTATAAAAAGATTTATATATTTTTTAATTGGGAAACAATAGTTTAAATTCAGAAAAGTATTTTCGGGATTGCAATATTACCATACAGAACGTATAACTATAGTAATTTTATAATTCCTGAAAAAGGAATTTGTATGATTTTTGACTAATTACAAATGACTAATTACCTCCTTCTTTTCGAAGTCGGTTAAAAATAAAATAAAAAGAAAATCACAAAATATGGAATTTAGAAAGAACGAAGTTGTTTGATACGCAATGGTAGAAAGAAATCAACCCTGGCGAAGATATTTCAAGCAGAAACGTTGTACATTGGAAAGGCCATGACTTTATCCATGACTCTGGTCAGGCGCCAGATCTCGCTCTTGTCCACAGAGCACATAATTTCTGCTTTTCATTTGATAGAAATTCGCTACGTTGACTAACAAATATTTTTCTTATAACAATTTTCGAGAGGAATGCATTATTGAATGAAAGTAAAAATTTGCATAAATGGAGGGTGGATGGGATGAGGTAGAGCGGATCTCCAAACCGCAGCAACCTCCTCGTGGTGAGACCTGGGCAATCGTTATTATTTGATGACTAATTAATAACTGTATCATTATTTCTATGGTACATTTATTAATTATGCAGCAAATAATACGAGCGAAATTGCTGCGAAATTTATGCTTTTTTTTCTATTTAATCTCTGTTATATATTTTTCAGGAACTATACCTTTCAGATTCTGAAGTGTATCACATTGCAACTACAATTTTACGGAAAGAAAATTAATAATAATGAATGCATGGTCAATATTGTTTAATTATGTACTTATACATATAGCTATCGTAGCATACACGTGTCATTTAGGTGTATAGCATTAGTTGATATGGTTGATATCATGCGATAATTGAGGTGGCGCTTAAATCAGTTTCTGTTCGGCCTAATTTTCGATGAAACGTTGACTGTTTTACCGACGCGGAATTCGAAGTTCGGGCTCCACGCTAGCATCACCTTAATACCGTGTTGTATGTTACATACAGCCCGGTATAGTTGGTATAGTCCTGATCAGTACGTTTCGGAGTTTTGACCGGGAAGAAGTGATTTATTAATTAAAATACATATATTTACATTATTGAAATAACCGGAAAACAATAAAAATATCAAAATGGAAGAGAAATTGCGTCAAATGGAAGATGAAATGAACAGGTATTATGCACTTGTAAAACAATGTATGAAATTCTAACCAATTTTTCTTTTTATTTCATTGTTTCTTCTAAATTTATGCACATTTTTCTTTGAATATGCATTTGATTATATTATTTATATTTCTAAGAATATTTTATTATTTAGAATTTACATGGTAAATTGCATTAAGTGGTTCATTTGTTATAAACCAAATAAATTATTTCAAGTTGCAGATAACTCTATGAATAAGAATATTAATATTAAAGTATATGTGATTTTAATTAATTGTACATTTATATTAATTTTTAGGTTCGAGGCTGAAATTGGTAGTCAATTAGTTACACCTATGGTAAGACCTGTAATTGGTGCAAACACTTATAATCAAGTAGCTAGACAATTAGAGCAACATGAACTACCAACACCAGTTGTTGCTGCAGCTGCGGCATCATTAGCTTTTCCTCCAATGATGGGATTTCCACCTCCACCACCACCACCACCGCCACCACCTCCACCACCACCAATGTTAATACCACAGCAAGTTGCAAGACAAGGTAAATAATTGTAAAATACTTGAATATGTGAAAATATGAAAAATTAGGTTTATGATACTTATAAGAATGTTTGTTGCAGGTACGGTTCCTTCTATTACAACATATTCATCACCTGCACAGATAAGTAATCCGTATTTATCAAATATGGTGGACCCATGTTTAACTGCTACTCCAAAAACATACGAATCTACGTCAACACCAATGATTCATCCGGAAATTATTGAACAGATTATCAATACAAAAATTCCTGAAGATGACAGCAAAAAGAAGCCCAAAGTAAAAGGTGTTAGTACAGCAGCAGAATTAGCAATTAGTCAAGGAAAGGCTAGTTCTATTATGGCTAATGCTAGTGCAGAAGAGAGTCATCCAAAAGGTAAAGGAAAGAAGAACAAGAAAATTGTACGAATGGCTGGTGGACAAATTTGGGAAGATCCTTCTTTGTTAGAATGGGATGAAGGTTAATAACTTATCCATATTTATATTATTTTATTTAATTTTTAACACAGCTTACAATTTTATTTATTTTTTTTTTTGTATACAGATGATTTCAGAATATTCTGTGGAGATTTAGGAAACGATGTCACAGACGAGATGCTGGTAAGGGTTTTCGGCAAATATCCCAGTTTTCAGAGGGCAAAAGTAGTTAGAGATAAAAGAACGAACAAGACGAAAGGATTTGGATTTGTCTCTTTTAAGGATCCTCAAGACTTCATCAAAGCAATGAAGGAGATGAATGGTAAGTCAGAAAATAATTATTCTTTTGTAAAAGAAATTGATTTTGATATAATTGAAACGTTTGGAGTAGTAATGTTTACTTCTTATAAAAAGTAAAATTTATTTTAGTGTATGTTTCTAAATTATATAGAATTTTAAAAAGATTTTGTAGTTAAAGTAAATCAAAGGATCATGTAACGGACCTTTAATGGATAGTGAGGTAGGGTTTTCAAGACAGGATTAAAAAAAAAGTAACAGTTAGTTAAAAAATTAAGTAACTATTTAATGGACTAGAATAAAAAGTTTTAAAGAGTATTTAAAAAATATTATATACAAAAATGTCGTTGAATAATTTAAAGAACTTTTATAAATGCTTAAAAAAACAAAATTATTTAAAATGCAATTTATGCCAGTAAAGTGAAGTTGCATTTAAGTACAGAGTATAGCAGAATACTTGTTTAAAGCTATACACGATTAAAAATTCCTACAGTTGACCTTGTATACCAATAATATGAGATCAATATTTCGTTCATACTGTAGTAGTTCATTTACCGAATGGACCCCAACCGTAAGATATAAAAAGCTGTGGTATTATTGAATACTGTTTTCGCGGTAGTGTAGGCCCTCCATTACGAACTGCAATGCGAGAATTAGATTGTCCCATCGCCGGGGTTGGACTGTCAACTGCTTTTCCCAATTCATGTTGTTGTTCATTACCTTCAACATAATATACATCATGAATCTCCATATCCTTATGACAATTTATTGTTACACTTGCCATTATTTAATCTTCTTACCTGCATAATTCCCACGGGGAGCATGTGGATTCATATAAAGAACAGAAAAGGGCATACCACCAGCACCCCAACCACGAGACATAAGTACATCTTTCTTCGACAATCTATTTCCATTTCGTTTAGCAGCTAGTGGTGACAGACTGTTCTTCTCCAGTGTTGGAACATTATCGTCCCATGATTCTATTATTGTATTTGGATCTATATTTGGAGTTTGCCTTCGAGTAGGTGTTCTGAAGTTCATAAAAATTTATTTTTCAAAATGATGTTGCATAAAAACTGGTACAAAGAAATAGTAAAAATGTAGGTACTTTAATATCGGTAGATTGTCTGGTACGGTAGCAATATTTTTATGAACTTCCTGCACCGGTAACCATTCCCAACACTCTCCATTTGAAGAACAGGCCGATGTAATCATAGCATCCAAAACGTTCTGTTCCAGCGTGTTTCGCAGGTCCAACAAAGGCACTGCTTGACATACTACCCACAGTGAGTTCAATGCATAGACAAAGACAGTAACCCCGAACAGCATTTTTCGGCTTTTCTTCGTGTATCTTCTGATTCGTTCAATATTTTCACTTCCGTGAAACGGTTCGTAGTTCGGATACAGCAGCGTGTCGTTTCTTCTTTCGAATTCTGAAAAGCATAAATGCAACATTGTCAGCGTGCATTATGAGTTAACGTCGTGACGATAAGACGTGTGGTCACAAATTTAAAAATTTTACGACACTCAGCTATGTTGTTTACGATCTTGAAACATTTGTGCAATGAGTACGGGCTATTTATATAACATTCTTGCTAAATTTAGACCACTATTCACACGCTTGCTAATTTTAGAAATCGTGGAATGGGACCTGGATAGAAAATAACATTGTCACTGGTTGATAATGAAAGAGATGTGTAGGTGATTCAGAGAAGCCAAAGAGACTTTCTTAATTGATGAACTTTATTAAAAAAAAAGAAAGATTATTCATTTTTGTCAATACAAATTTATAATATATTTTGATTAGAAACATTTAGTTTTAATAAGGCTGACTACTTGGGACTGCATACTGTGGTCTGTGTTAGGGCTCCATTTCAATAATATTGCATGGAACATAAAACAACTACATATTTATGCAGCCCCGACTTGGCGTTTCAAGTATTTATTTCATCTTCGAGTATCAGTTTTCATGTTCTTTCATGTTTGAGCGATTTTACGATCTCTTTGGATCTCGCCGTTTCTCTGACAAGGAGAACTACCCAAGTGTTACACTCACTTATTAATGAAACTTTGCTAGCTTGTAGAGCTCATCGAGCTGAACACGCCTATACCCCGTTTTGTGGGCAGGCGACTAATTGTTTAAAAGATATTAATAATTAAAGTTAATTACTACTTACATTGAGAAGTATAACAGACTCACACATACAACTCGCAATCTAGAGATCTACGGTTCAAATCCTTGATTCCCAACATTTTTTTTTTTTTTATGATAATTTGTCTCCTTTTGAATAACTATTACATAAAAATTATCATATATATAAAAAAAAAAAAAATCCCACGGGAACCTAGGACTTGAACCGAGGACCTTTAGATTACGAGTCATGTGTTTAACCACGGAACAGATCCGTGAGTAGCAATTTGAAAGTCCTCGGTTCAAATCCTTGTTTCCCAAAAATTTTTTTTTATGATAATTTTTATGTAATAGTTATTCAAAAAGAGACAAATTATCATAAAAAAAAAAAAAGAATGTTGGGAATCAAGGATTTGAACCGCGGATCTCTACATTGCGAGTTGTATGTGTGAGTCTGTCATACTTCTCAATGTAAGTAGTAACTAACTTTAATTATTAATATCTTTTAAACAATTAGTCGTCTGCCCATAAAACGGGGTATAGGCGTGTTCAGCTCGACGAGCTCTACAAGCTGGCAAAGTTTCATTAATAAGTGAGTGTAACACTTGGGTAGTTCCCCTTGTGAGTAGATTTACCCACGTGGGCCGAAACGTCTGAGTAATCGGCTGTTCGTGGGTTACAGCTATTTGATACACTAATTGTGTTACCATTTTGTAAAGCATATTTAATCCAAACAATCATGTTTCTACGTTGTGAAAAATTTAAACAAAATGGGATGTTGTAATATGCACAACGGATACGTCTCATTACCTTGTTCGGGAAATTAACGATATCGGCGAATTTGTGTTAATAGCAAAGGGAAATAGAATATTTTTGTCTTTACGTAGAACGTAGGTTTCCAAATTTCCGGCGTTTAACGGGCAATCATTTCGAAATGTCAAATGTTCAATTGAGAATAAATGTAACATAATAATTCTCGAAATTATTCCAATAACTTAAAAAATAATTCTACTTTTGAACAATTTATTCGGTTAAATAATTGTATATAGTAAGTGAAGGTGTAAGAGGGTAAACCCGCCCTTTACCCCACTTAGTTACGTCAATGTTCGAAATTTGTAATTTACCTCCTTTCCAAAATCACCAATTTTTCAATTGTAATTCGTCTTTGATAGAGTAGACAAAATTAAAATAAAAAATAATAACGTAGTAAGTTAAACATCAAGATCCCAGCCGACAGAGTTCAAATACTATTCTTAGGAAATTCGATCCTTTCGTACGACAAATATTTGTCAGATGATCCTATAAGTAATGCTGTTAGAAGATAGGAACTATCAGGCATTGTAGTATCGGAAGTGGTTTAATTGAATTATGTAGCATTAGATGGACTCAACTGCATATCTTTGTATCTTATATTTTTTGAAATTTCAAAGGGATTTCAATATTTTGCATGATCAATACCTTTTTTAGATGCAACTCTCAATCTTGAAATCTCAAAAAATATAAAATATAAAAAAATCTAATTGTGTCTATCTGGTGGACCCCTTCTAATGCCACATAATTCATTCATTAAACTACTTTTTTTTTTATACAAGCAAACGATTATGCTACTGTAAACCATAATTTCTATGCATTACTGAACTGACATCTTGCACACTTAATAAAACTCACAAATTTGCATTGTTTCTCTACGTGATCAATTAACTTGAGCCTTAATTAATCCATCCCTGTTACTATGTCTACACTCAGAATTTTATACTATTTGGTATTTTTTTTTAATTGAATAAAACAAATAAAAGGACAAAAAAGGTTTAGGCGCTTACCGTTGAAACACACGACCGTCGTTCGTCTCGTAAAGAATGAAGTTCGTTGTCACGGATCAGGTTTCTCGCAAGCACTCGGACATCCGTAACCCCTCAGGGTGGCTGCGACGGAGTGCGTCGCGACGTCGTCCCGTCACGGTACTCATTCAGCAACCCCTACCAGCTCCAATTTTCTCCATAGCCCCTCCACCTGTATCGAAACAACCAATTGGATGGCTCGTTTTCGACGACGACCCTCTCGTCGACGTCGTCCTGATCGTCATCGTCGTTGTTGTCTCCAGTGGTCATCGTCATCGTATTCTCTCTTGTTTCTTACTATTGCGTGCTGGTCGTCGTTCGCATTCCTCTTCTGACCCGATGAATCAGTATCATACGTTGCTCCGTTCCAAAAGTAATGAAATTATGTTTATAAATACATTTTTCTATGTTATATATTTTTCGAAATCAAAATGGCTTTGCTTCGGAAAGCATAGACGGATGAAAACGTTTTTTCAATTCCTTGAAAGGAACATTTTGCAGCGGTTTAAAATTCAGAACTCAATAAACTATAAAAATTAGACTGAAATATAGTTTTAGGAGACTTCAAGAGGAGAGTTGTTTGAATGGTTACAAAAAAATTAACACTTTGGGCCATTGTTATTTATACAACGTCTTAGTTACAGTTTATTTGTTTAACGGCGGTATGGCATTTTATATAAACATTGCCTGTCTCCTTGGCAAAAGGAATTAGACCGCAGCGTGCAAATGTTGCATCGAAGAAGACCAACGATGCAGCAGTATGCACTTGCATCCCTCGGTAAAGAGCTATTGACTCACGTGTTGCGTCCTATCAGTTGTTTCAATAATGTTTCTGGCACACCTGTTGCGTCTTTATTTTCATCAAGTACTTCTTATCGTCCCTTCACCTTTTTGAGGAAAATGTTGTATCAAAGTGGTAGTTATCTAGTGCTGATTCTCATTGATTTTTGATAGCCGGTTCGCCCAAATAACGAAGTTAAGTATTTGAATATAAAGGGGTCATCCTAAAAATTCATTACTTTTAGAGCAAACTATGTATGTACAACGTAAGTATGCTGTGTAGTGACCAGAAAATGGCTGTGAAATACCACGAATATTTCTATCGATATATTAATTCACGCCGAGGAACACGCTCGATTACAAAATAAACATATTGTCTACCGAGTCGGTCGTACATATTTTACGTGGGGTCTTCCTCAAGTAGGTGGGTTAAGCAACGGGCGCTTTCGCATTTTTTTGGCGAAATTCAACGATCTTAGCTTTCCGCGAATTTGGTGTCTCATCAACGGTGAATGCAGCAGATGAATGCGTCAGTGGGCCAATCTGACCCGTGGTACTTATCAAATATGCAAAGAATATTTATGCAAATGTATTGAAAGTGTTGAAGATTATTCTTCTACCGTGCAAATTTTACACGTTTTGCAATGTCTGACCAATTTATTTTGCTTTATTGTATTTAGTACACGATTAGCATATACACTCAAAATTTATACAACGTTTTGCCTTTTTAGAATTAAAAATCTTGAATTTATAACGCAACATTAATAATTTATCTAGAATCTTTTTTTTTTGTTCAGGTATTAATATTTTCTGTTAATTAATTTAACGAGGAGGCCACCTCATTCATCTTAGATACATAGTGGATTTCGTGGCCAGAGGAAAATTGAAGAGCATCTTTAATCTTCCTTCCTTTAATCTTCTTTAAATTTAATTGTTATATTTCAATATTGTTTAAATATTATTGGAATAGAAGCATTTACTTTTGTTCCATAAAACTGAAGTTATCTACTATTGTTATTATACACTCTTTGAGTAATTAAAAATACTCAATTTATACTTATTGAATTTTCTGAAAAAGGGCGAAAATGGAAAACACATAATTTACATTACATTTGTATCATTTTATTCATATATCTCACAAAAGGCACAGTCGAATAATACTTTCAGTCAATAAATATATTCTTTGAGCAGGGTTATTAAAAATCGGTAGATTTCACATAAATAGAATACTTTATTAAGAAACTACGAAACATTGAATTCCCATTTGGGGGCAATTGGCCTGGAACGGTGCACGAGGGTGTTAATATATTCTCATCTGATGGGAAGGTCACGATTTCGAGAAAACCCAATGACGAGAAGAATATTAATAATCTTCGATCAATTGTAAAGTTACAAGTAGCAAGGAAATACATTAACGTGAAATCTTTGTCGTTCAAATCGAGCACACGAATGTACGAAATTTTTGTTCAACGATTTTAGAACAGGCTGTTCTAAAATGTTCGTTAGTCAGCGTGCATATCGGAAATTCCATTTGTTATTCTCACCTCGTATTTCCTCGTATCTCGGGGATAAAGTATTTCCCGGTGTCGAAATATGAATATTATGGACCACTTATATATTCGGACGAACTTGACTGGCGCAAACTTAATTTAGAACCGACCGATACCACATCCAAAGTACTCCTCAAACATGCTATATGTGATTCAAGAGAATAGCACTTATGAGAAACCTTTTGATACACACGTTTATCGTGCCTCTTCCTGTGTTTGATTTAAGCTTATCGGCAGAATCTTGAAAATGGGTCAATAAATTGTACTCTGTTAACGTGTGGAACGATTCAGCTACAAGGGAACAGCAATTTTCTATTTTTTTTTTATTCATGTTTTATGTGGAAAACATATAGTACATGATTTCAGGAGAAATGAGGATATGTTTGATTTAAGATTATAGGCAAAATCTTGAATGATAGTTTTTTATTTTTATTCTTTTTTTTTTTAACATTGATTTCTAATACAATTATAGATATAAAAATATAATTTCATTTAAAAAAAAGGTTACTTTGAAATTTTTTACATCAATGATTTTGGAGCAAAATGCTTTTCTTCCTTAGATGTACCCCTTAAAATAGTATAACTGTGCATGTAATGACCTTGCATCCTTTTTCTGAGAATTAACACTCTGCATCACAAGTATGCTCCATTTAAAGGTCTTTTAAAATTTTTTTTTTTTAAATGGAACGTGTATTCGTAGAAATTAAATTCATTGAAAGTTGAATTGAATCCAAATTTCTGAACGTTGACCTCGTTAATCGCATTCTATTCTATATTTTTATTTATTAGTACGTGTACACGGTATACCTATACGTTTTGTTCTATTCACTCGCTTTTTTTTTTAGTTCCAGTGAAAAACTAGATTTATTCGCGCAGCAAAAATTTTTCACCTTTACTGCTTCGACTGTCACAGATTGAACTACTGCATCGTTTTTACTTTTATTTTTTAAACTGAGTTATTCTACTTTAAAAATAATAATAATAGTAATTTAAAAATTATTTACAAATAATTCCAATTATAGTATAAAAGTAAGCAAAAAAAAGTTCATTTTTGTTATGCGATTAATAAGATTGTTAATTGAATTTTTATCAATTTTTTCCCACGCTCTAATAATGACTGTTTATAATTCTTATAATGCTAGATATTTTTTATTCTCTTTATAAATTTGGTTTACAAGTATTCCTGACACATTTTCAATAATATTTATATAAAAATTTGAATATTATGATTTCTAAGTTATGCTGATGTGCATAGCCTCTTAACCTTTCTCACCCTGATGAGACACATATGTCTCAACCCGAAACGAAAATGTTTCTGACCCTAAATTTCTAACCCATAGTAAAAACTTCAGTAGGACGAACATTTTACGTTAATTGCCAGAGGCAAGGTAAAATGATCGATTTCTCAATCAACAGGCAGACGTGCAAACAGTATCGAACCAAATTCACGGTGTTCATACAAGCTGGAAATAATTAGAGGACCAGCCACCTTTGATCATTAACACGTTGACTGCTACGTTGAAACTGTTAAAAATTTCATTAGATACTGTAATAGAACTTCTGTTACATGAACGACCGTTATATGACCATTCTGTTATTTGAACAGTACATTTCCTATTACAGTACTGTATGTAACCATAATGTACTTGTATAATGGATTTCCTATGGAAATTCAAGCATCACCCACATATGGGTCACGTGGTAGTGAACGCGTTAAATGTTATGGTTCATTATTGAAAGTGCAATCCATAGTGACACGAATTTTTCATCGCTGGCGGATGTATACTTCATAACTGTTACTTGAAAAAAAAATTTCACACGTTATGAAAAATGCTGGTAAAACGAGAGAATACTGGTCAATTAATACAGTACTGTCTATTGAAATATTTATATAATTTCACTGCAAAGTATTCATATTAGATAATTGGAAATTTTAACAAGAGCCAGTAGTCATTAAATAAAATAAATAGTAGTCATTAAATTAAACAGAACATCCAGTATATGTGCCAGTGGTGCGCCTAGTAGTATGCCGACAGTTTAGTCAGACGCAACAAGTGAATCAGTTCGAACAGAATCAGACCAAACTAAACATGAAAATGAATTTATTATTTGAATTTAGGCTGGTAATTCATAACAGTTTAGGTTCGAGGTTTAGTCACTGATATGATGATCGTTCGAACGGATATACGAGTGACTGTTTGAGGTACTTGCGTGACTCGGTACAACTTGTATCGTTGTCCCAGGTGAAACCTTGCACTCGCTTTGACTAAAATTACACAGCTGATCAGTGACTTTACCTTTTTTATCCGATCTTTAACTGTGATTACTTCGTTTTTATAATTAGAAGCGTTTGAAGTATTGTTAATTTAAGATGATGGCATGCATCGCGTCCTTTTTTCTATAATTCTTCATGGTTGATGATTTATTGTCTTCGCCGGACACCCCCTATGTTGCGACAGATCTGGAGAACGCTCCTCCATTTTCTCTAATCACGTAACATCTTAAGACAATAATTAGTGTAACCAATAACAGGCTCTGTATAGTCAGGATAAATACTCCTTTATTTTGGAAGATGTCCATTTGTATTCACTGGAAAAGGAAACTTGTGTCCCCTGTAAGAATAACTTTAACTTAATAAAATTGTGTTTTCAGGACGGTACGTGGGCTCGCGTCCCATAAAACTGAGGAAGAGTTCATGGAAGCAGAGAAATTTGGAGACAGTGAGGAAGAAAGAGAAAGAGAAACAAGCGTTAATTGGTTTGCTGACCGGACGGTGACGTGACACCTTCGCTCTTCTCTTCGTTTACGCCCTTAAGTGGATTATATGTGGTTTTATCGAAAAAATTCTCACCACATTAACGTATATAAAGTATTCTCCACGATTGATAGGTTCTTTTTAACAATCACAATTCGTTGGAGTAGATACGTTCATAAAAGTTGTTGAGATCGTAACATGCAATCAATTTCTATGTAATATTATTTGCAAAATATGAAGAAGAAAAGAAAATAAATTCTTACTTTAATTGAACTTTTTGAGTGGCGTTTAAAAATATCTCAACGTTGCATCTATAGAAATTCAATTAAAAGTTTTATAAATACAAAACTTTTGAGCCCAGTTTTCTTCATTGTTAGAACATGTACTATACATATAAAATCTAAGTCTGAATGAAGCCAATTATGAAATTAATTGCAGATTTAATTATAGCATGTTGATATTTTCACGTCAAACATGATCAAAGTGAACATACAAAGAACAGGAAGGAAATAAACGCGATTTATAAAATGTCTGAGTATCCGGAAATTACAGGCGAACCCGGAGAGGAGGAGACGAATCCTTTAGGGGTAGATTTCCTTTTTTACTCATAGAAATTTTATTTGTACATCGCTGATCATTATACTCCGAAAAACGTATAAAATGTAACGTACCATGAATTTTGAAAATGTAAAAAAAATATTCTTGTTCTTTTTCTATCAACAGGACTTTGTACCAGAGAAATAACAATTTTATAAGTTCTAAAAGATTTACAAATACTTCTTTAAATTATTACATGTAAAAATATATTTCGTATTAAAAATCTTTATACCTCATATCGAAGAATTTCGTAGTAAAAATTAAACAGTTATATCAATGTAATCGTAGTTATATGAAGGTGAACGAAACGAGAAGGGAGATCGGCATGGTCGAGGGAAAGCTTTGCTTCCGAATGGCGACATGTACGAGGGACAATATTGTAAAGGATTAAGACACGGTCCAGGATTATACGTATTTAAAAATGGAGCACGATACGACGGGCAATATAGACAAGGCGTGAAGTATGGTCAAGGAACATTTTGGTACCCTGATGGCACTCGATACGAGGGTAACAAAACAATGTACAGTACCGAGCACGATAGGCTTTCCTAGAAAAAATGGCGATGTACCTTCCTCTACGAAAGAGTAGGAATCCGGGAATCAAAAACATCCGGGACATCACCATTTTCCCTGGGGAAGCGTACTATACTCGATACTGTACGTTTAACAGGAGAATGGAAACGGGATACGAAATACGGTTTCGGTGTGTATTACTACGTAAATGGTGACGTTTACGAAGGTTCTTGGAAAAAGGATCTTCGACACGGTATGGGATCTTATCTTTATGCTGATACGAACACGAAATTTATGGGCACTTGGATCATGGATCGCATGCAAGGACCAGGACAATTGATTCACCCACGACATCGATTCCACGGATATTGGGAATTAAATTTGGTGAGACAAATTTTAATACGTTCCTATATTGAATGTTTCAAAATCTGAGTCCATTGGATAATTATGGTTGCGCCATTGAATTAAAAATAAAATGTTAAATAAAAATTTGATCACAGCCATACGGTCGGGGTTGTTTTACCTTCGAAAATGCTTGTATGCAGCATGGGCACTATATACATGTCAAAGATCCTGATTATGTTGAAACCCCGGAGGAAAATAAAGATGAGACTCAACCCCAACCTGAGAATGTTGAGGTATAATTTTATAAAAATGTTACTTTTATATAAAATAACCCAGACCTGTGAATTCCATATAAAAATACTTTGACCAAAATTAATATTTGTTTGAAAAATGAATGAATAAATATATTTTTGGAATAGAAAACGGAAAAGAAGGAAAGCACAGGACCTCCACCGTTTGAACCACCTCCTCTAAAAAAAGGTTTTATTCCTTTATGGCGAGCACGTTGTATTACACCTTATAATCCTGATTTATTACCACCTGAACCAGTACCTCTTCAGGAAGAGGTAATTATACATATAATTGAACAGACAAATGTTACAAATATTTATAAAATTTTCCAAATTTTATTTTCTCGAAGATACAAACAAATTTTATCTTATTTCTGTACCATCGGTATTAGGATACCTAGTATACATATTTAAATTAAATATTGGAAAGCCGTTCGACGATATCCGGTTTCTGTATTTCACAAATTCGCTGCACAATTCGTGGGCATCTGGAAGACGGAAGTAGGCGAGATAAACGGTCTAAATTAGTTGCTTGTGGTCTGACAAGCACTTCCGGTCGCTTCCATTTTAATCCGACAGTTTCCAAACTATAGGTTCCATTGATAAAATTACGATATCCGTATCCAGTCATCTTTAGTTTACATAACACATCCGCTCTTTGAACAATTCAATTACCCAATTACTGCTTTATTTTTTTTAGTTAAAGATAAGTTCGTGTTGTTGCTTAATAATTTCTTTTAATTGTTTAGGTATCCTTGGACTCTCTAGTTGATAAATGTTCAGAGGATATATCAAGAGCTGAAGAATATTTGAAATACGAAGATGAATATGAGGGAGAATATGAAGAATATTATGGAGAAAATGATATAAATAATATTTGAATATAACGTGTATGTGGTTAGATGAAAATGCAGCATGGTCTTTTTTTTAAGCAGTTTATTTAGGACATTATTATAATAACAAATGTGCGTGTGTGCCCATAATGTCGAATAACGTAAGAACTTGATACGTAGGCACGCATAGATCTTGTTGACAAGTCGCATCGTCAAAAGAGTGTACAGTGTATTACATTGAATCAGCAATAAATATACAACGCGGTTACGTGTATATATATTCGTATGTCTGCTAAGCAATACGTTCAAATCGAAGAAAATTGCAGTCTATTCGATTAACTTGTATGAGATACTTTACATTAGTCATAGATTACACCATGTATTTTTCCGTTTTCTTTTATTTCTAAGTTTTAAAAGCGCAAGCTCGCTCGATTGCCCGTTCACATGCGTGCAAGCGTGTGTCCAAGAGTATAATAAATCAAACGTAAAACACGGATAGAAATTATGGGGTTTCGACGTTATATACACACTTTTTAAATAGGAAGACGAAAATAGTCGCTTGAAAAGTAGGTAAAGATGTATGAAAGTGGAAGAAACATTACTTTTAAAGTTCTTATCATCCTCCTCAATCGGTCCCTAAATACCAATTAAACGTGACAATTTCTTTAAAAAAATTTTGTTTCCTCTTCTAACAATACTAATGAATACTGGCATTTGAATAGTTTCGAAATACTAAAAGGCGTATGTATTTAATATACATTTGTATATATCGCCCTTTAGTTTTCAAATAAGTCTTTCTTTTATAAAACGGTGTTATTCGACTACATTGACATTAAAGGCTCAATGGAGGTCGAAAAGTTTTTTTAAAAGGACGGAGGAAGAGGGCAAAGGAATAAAAAATGTGTTGCGATGTTTCGCAGTCTTTTCAACAATAAGCTATTTTATACGAGTGAGCGAACCCTTTTCACTTGCACTGGATTGTTAAACAGCTGCCGTTTAAGTCCTACGGTGTGATTCGTGATAGCACATTGACGGGAAATCATTGTTTATCTTTTGTATGTATCACAGTGTTCAATGACACCTTCATGTGAATATTTTGTGACACGTCCTGAGATTCTACTCAAGTAAGAATATCGTTACGAATCGTGCGCTGAAAATTCGGTCTACAACAGGTATACACAGCAAGTAGTAAGACGAACACGGGCGCCTGAAGCATTACGGGGGGCACCTTGGCGCCTTACGAGTACTTTCATATGCATGCCTGTTACGGCCTCAGCGATTTCTTGGCACAATATCAAAAGAATTCGCGATTATTGCGAAATATCCACAGCCCTGAATCGATTAAAACATTTCTTTTCTCTCTCTCTCTCTCTCTCTCTCTCTCTCTCTGTCTCCCTATCTCTCTCTCAATATACCAATTCTGAGAGATAGAGCACTTTTGCTATGTTTAATCGACGTTTAATTAATAGCAAAAAAATATAATACATTGAACAAATAAAGTATGTTTAAAAAATGAAGAGATGTCTCTACGAACGATTACAAACATTAAATTATATGAGACTCGAGTGCATTGTATGTGCGTTTAATGTGCAAATCATCCGTTCGTAGATTGTTGTTTTCAAGCATCTCAGGTACGTAAGCGTGGACGAAATTTTGTGCCCTGTTATGACGTGACTTAATATCCACAGACAGTTCTTTCATATTTTTTTTTTCGTTTTCGTTTTGATCCCAAAATAATAAATCTTGTAAATGACTATTTCTCTAAAATGAGATCGTATCGTTTCACATCAGATCAGGTGGTGGTCTCTGAAACACAATGCTTGCTACTGAAATGCTGCAAAGTCCAGCTGTTATCACTCCCAAGCATATGTAAACTGATGTGATTAGCCAAAAGGCAAATAAGTATAACGTCTTATTACAGTATTTTCCAAGAGCTGGATCATAGTTTGGTTCATACTCTTTGTACACCCACATTGAACCTACCAAATATAAAAAATGTTAAATAGACCGACTGTAAATGTAGTAATAAGTATCACAGTAGGATACTGATCATATTACCAACCTATAATGAACCACCCAAGCATAAAACAGTTTATTAATGTTTGTGTAGGCGATTGTCGTATTCTTTCTTCATCTCGTTCCTCTTGACGTTGACGTACTTTCGCAGACAAGTGTAATAACTGTTTGAAGACACCGAAACCACCACCCACTAATAAATAAACAGGAATATATTCTCCTTGTGGGCAATCGTATAGATAAAGTCCTCCAATTACCATCATACATATTGGAACTGCCATTGTTACTCCTAAGATAATGGTACATCCAACTGGAATTAAAACATAAGTTTAGTAGATAAAATTAGAGATACTACAATAAAATTAGGGATACAATTGTTTGCTTACTGGTGCCTAAAAGTAAGACAATAACATTTATCAAAAAATCAAACACTCCTTTGGAAACTTTATGAGCTTCTCTCATACGACCAAACAACGAATCATAGGATGGTGGAGGAGCTAGAAAAACACAAATTATCACCTGTTTAGATTGAAGTAAACTAAAATACTTCCAGAAGAACATTACTTTTACTTTAAAAGAATTAAATATTTGTTATATATTAATTTTTACATAGTGTTAATGTAGCAAGACATAATGACTTTGTTTTTGCAATTATTTACCATTTGGATCTATAGCTTCCTCGTAAGAAGGAGGTGCACCACGATCAGCAGTTAAAGTAGACGGATGTCCAAGAGGTAAAATAATGTTATGATACGAAGGTGGAGCAGTATAACGAATCGTAGCTACTTCAGTACCAGGATTCACGCTCTCACTCGTATTGATGAAATTACTTTGATTTATTTGACTCAACGGCATTTCTTCGCGTATATTTGTTGCTTGAAGCCAATACATACGGTTCGCATTAAAAGCGTTACTGACAACAGCATGCATGTAATTTTATAACCTATAAAATGTCGGTATTTCAGCATTTAATGCGAGATTTAGAGCCGCATAGCATTAAAATATGGCACGCGATTTTATAAGAAGAATGTAATTCATCTAATTGAAACAATCCACTATTGTACACTTTGATTGTACTTGAATTGTTGACACACAAACAGAAGAAACTAAACACTCCGAATATTATGTAGGTACTATATTTTTAAACATTTATCCTGTTTATTTTAAATTCGAAAAGTGAAACGGAGAAAAACGTTACGCAACATTAGATTTCATTCGAAAAAAAAAAAGAAAAAGAATAGAATATTTTATAAATACACGATTTGTCACACCTCCGTTTCAGGGAACACAAAACAATTTTATCGCGCAAACCGGCGTCTACATTTGATTATGCTCACTTTTGCCGAAGCAAACCACAATAAGATCGTTAACCACAATAAGAAGTATACAACATTTATCAGTTTTATAACATAACAATATTATCTTCGAAGACACCATCAATTCGATATGCTTACATTTGCGCCATAATAAAACATGTGCGGCGTACTGCGCATTGCTGACAAGAAGGCGCACAGCTGGAATGTTGGTCTTATTGGTGAAATTACTGTAGAACCTCCCTCTCTTTAACGCAACCATAGAAATATGACTCATGCATTTTCGTCATTTGTCGAAACGATCGCATCTACTAATAAACGCCAACACACATTTGCTGTAAATCAATCGAGTCGGGTGGAGCGATCGAAGTTTTCCTCTTGCCCCTGAATGACCCCGCCAGCCTTCTTGCCAGTAAAGCACGGTGTGCATAAATTAGGCTCTGAATCAGATATCAAAATATCGATGATTCGATTACAGATGGTTTTAAATCGAAATTCTTAATTTCATTTGCGGGATTATTCAAAATATAGTTTTGATCTGTAAATTTGGTATTAATGAACGTAAAACTATTAACAAAACCCGCATAAATAATGCAATAAAAATACATTTCCACAATTTTATTAAAATATATATTACGTGATGTAAGGAAATCTCGTTATTATTTTATTTTTCATGGAAAAAGAGAGGAAGTGTTATATGATACGTAATTTTCGACAGATTTTTACGATAAATTTGTTAAGTAATGCAAGGAAAAAAACAACACTTGAGATCTGGTTTAGCTATTTTAATATTTTCCATCCACTATGACAAATGTTTTTCATGCATTTACTCTGATCTCCCACGATTTAATATTGATAAACAGGAAAATGTCACGCAACCATCGTTATAATGTTTCAATGAAAAACAATTGTTTAGAATTTATTGTTTCTGCAACGACCAATCGGAACAAAACTACACTACACGCTATAGAACATTTCTGACTTTAAATATAAGCCGTGAACTGGAAACAGAACAGTAGGATATTCTTTTTAATAACTATCAAGCGTTTTCAGTTGTAAACGCCAAAATGCAATCGTCCATTCCAAAATTGTTATTAGTGTCCGTTTTATGCGTTATTCCTTACGTTATGGTAAGAATTAGAGTTTGATGCCATGTAAATACATGGTGAAAAGTATTAAAACTGTTTATTAATATGTTTGAAATTGTTTTCTAGGCGGAGAACAAGGTAACTGTGCTTGATTTTAAGGCGGATGTTCCAGGCAATGATGTTATTGATTCCTGGTCTCACGATCTTACAAATAATGTTATTAGCTCAAATATCAACATAAAAAAGAATTGTCCAGGTGCAATAGAGGTAAAGAACGAAGTATACAATTAATAATTCAGGCAGATAAATAAAATCTACGAAAACTTTAATAAATATTAGAATAATGTACATAAATATTATACCATTTTTAGGCCGAGATAAAGGTATATAAAGGTGATGATCTAGTTAACCAAATGGTTCAAAATCTCAAACAACCAATAAAGGATTTCGAAAGTTACAAAATTTGCGAATCGATCGATAGTCCAGATCTTGAAGATGATTCCTGCTCAATCGCCGAAGTAAGTGTATTTATAAAGTATTCTTTTTTTTTTATTTTTATTTTTATTAAAGTGCTACGTATGCGTGTGGCATTGGCAAGTTTAAAGTTTTTTAAATTTGTTTAAATTCCAAGAATTATGAAAATAACTTGAAATTCGAGTCACTATCACTATCTAAAGTTTGAATCCTCTGTGTGCACGTATGTACATACGTATGTACTGTATGTATTGTACATACATGAACATTTTCTTGTTTAGGGTGAACAATCGGCGAAAAATTGCGATATAAGTGGATGGTTTAGTGACATGTCACCTGGAGATTACAAAGTCGAATGCGTTTTTAAACAAGCTGATGTAATTACCACCCTCACTCTTAATGTAAAAATTGAAAGTGATTAAAAGGGAATAATTTTACCGCAGCATGTATTTCTTAAAATATACAGTGTACTTATAAAATTATAATTAATTTTTAGTATTAGGAAAGTAAATTGTCGCTTTTCAACAATAAAGATATTAGCAAAGTACGAAATAATATTTTTCTAACAAACATTTAAAGATATTGTCTGTAAACAAATCTGTTTATTACAATTTATACAGCCTCTACGGTACATGTTTCAAAAAGTTCAACAAATTGTTGTGTTTTCGTAAAAGAGAGATAATAACAACATAAAAAATGGAAGTAGAGGAGCAGAATGCTAAATTTACTTATATTTTTAAGGGTTGTTACATTTAATGTATTTCTTTTGTTCGATACTTCATGTATGGACTTTGATTGAAGTTTCTTCTTTTGTGAATTACCAAGTATTTTCTACTGTGCAATAGAATAAATAAAAATATTTACTTATATCGTAAGAAATAATATTTTCAATATTCTTTATTAAAACATATTATTATTCGTTCAACTAGAGACCATATTTCTTATACGACGAGTTTTCGTTCGTTCTGCGCATGTTAACTCTGATTGGCCCAAGCATGCTTCGTCTGCGCAAGCGCATTGTCATACCAAGCACACATCTGGTAGTCTTATATTTAGTGTACTCTTCGACCTTTGAAGGTAACGCTTGTTTTCTCTGTTCGTATATTTTATTGTGCACCGTGTATATGGCCATGAAGTTAGAAATAGGAGTGGAGGACCTCCCTAAGCTGCGCGAAACAGGTATGGTCTCGTGTTGAAGGAATAATAATTATATTATTTTCAAATAAAATACAAACTCTTACTTTAATGTTAGCTCTTCTTTTCATAATTAATGTACTGGATGAATCAACAGTACTATCTATATACATATTTTCTATAGCGAAAGAAAATAAAATGAGTTGTGTATATTCTTATAAACATTTTTTAAAAGTAAAGCATAAAAGTCATTATAATAATTAAGTGGTGGATAACGGTACTAAGACTTACTTAATATAGGACAACTTAATTTGGTATTATTTTTTGGTATTACTACTTTTTTAAACTTTGTTGGTACATGTACCTGTTTAATCTTCCTGATACCAACTTTTGCTGGCTGATATAGACTATGCTATTATTTTCCGAAAAATGATTGTAATTATTAAATTATTTTTATTGCATAGTATAATTGAAGTTATGCTCCACAAGATAGAATATTATATCATATATGAAAACTCTTATATTATGACCCTAAACTTACTTTATTCTGTATTTTTTTTGTGTCTCCCACATCTTCAATAAATTCTAAAATTAATATTTACATTTATGCGTGTACCAAAATAAATATAAAGTATTAATTTTATGTAAGATACCTTTTAATGGATTATGAAACTTTTCATATGATTTCCTATGGATTGATGCTACATTTGTAATACTGGGATGCTTCAAATTGTAAATTTATTTTATTAACTGTTTCAAAATGCTAAAATTTAGGTACTTCACGTAATAACAAAATTCACCAAAGACGGAGACATCCAAATATGATCTCGGCCGCCACGTAATCGTATTTTTGAATTTGCTTTAAGAATATAATAAAAAATACAAATTCTTGTATAATGAGTATTTCACAGCATGCAATAATAAATTAAAGGTTACAATTAAATATAATAAATAAAAAATACAGAGGTTAACTCATACTTCGAATTCCACAGCCCGCTCCAGAGATATCGCGCGGTTTATAAATTCCATTTTTTGAACAAAACTTCATCTTCTGCCGTGTTTCTTGCATTTTACGAATCAGGTAATAATAATTAATATCAATTAATATTGATAATTAATTGATATCAATTATGTACAGTAAAATGATCGTTCAAAGTTAAGTCAGTAAATTATTTTTATACATGTGACGGTTGTCGCGTTTTTGTTTATTATTGTCTTTACTTCAAATACATTTTTACCAAATTGAAGATAGCAAGTTAATAATAAGATTTTAAACTTTAAAATATTGTTTACGCAAATAATAAAGAAGTCTTTATATTCTAATAAAAGTGTACTCTTAAAAAAAAATTGCTACACAATCATGTACATCTGTGGGGTAGATGTATGTACATTTTCTCGTTCGGGTAGAAATTATTGCGCACAAATCTTTTATTTTATAATGACAGTAATGTAACGCTGTTGGTATAAATTACGTAAATTTCAAGTACAACAAGATTTGGCTTCATCTATTCTCTGTTAGTATTATTATTACGTCTTTACAGATTATATTTGTGAACAAATATACATACATATGTATACGCAATTTTGAAATATATTAGCTAAGAAACATACACAAGTGTTTAAATAATTCATTAATTGTGTGTATAAAAAATACGTGCTGTGTTTTTCAAATACTTTATATTTCTGTATGCTTAACTGTTCAATGAAAGATTCATTGAACGAAATTATTTCCATTTGCTGATGACCTTTATACCTATTAACATAATGCTGACCTTTGCCTGCAGTGAAAACCAATCAGCTGATACTAATTTTCATAAAAATGTTTTTCAATTTCATGAAACGTCGTAGTAATAGTTCTATTAGTAACACATATTTGTGCGTTTTCATAGACAAATTTTCGTTAATTGGATTTTATTACTAATACTGGATGACAAGTACGTGTTTGGGGTGTCGAAAAGTTTCTCTACTTGGTTGTTACAAACATTTCTCTCTCATATCTTTTTTTAATGTGCTTTCATATTATTCCTGACATTGACAGCTATGTTACTTCAAAAATGTTTTTTTGGCAGATCGCTCAACATATTTGGAATATAGATTAATTATATTCTATTACGGTTATCGTTGTGAAATATGGATAACGTAACAGTGAGTAATGAATTTCATTTCCATGAGAAAAGAACGTTTTTCCTAACCTTATTCATCTTGTTTTATCTTCATTGCTGATATGTTTATGCGTAAATTTACAATTATAAGTATTACATGAATGAACATCATTCCGTAAATGATGTTAATATTAAGACTATTGTTATTTCATGTATTTCCATACATATCATTTAAATTTAAGAATGTTATTAAAAGTTTTAAAATAAAGTTTTTACATAACAACTTATTAATATATGTTGTATTATATCTTTAGGGAATAATACATGCCATATACAGAGGGTTTGTGGATAGTTTAAGGGGAGCTATTGTTCTATTTTATATGGATAAACGTATTAATGAAAAGTTATTGAAACAGTCCCCTTCTAGAATAGAAACTCATGGAAAAGATATGGCAGTTGCACATAATCCTTCAAAATGTTATAATCAATTAAGGTACATAATTTATATAAACATAAAATTATAGAATTATAATATTGTATAAATTGTTCTGTGATGCATTTTCAGAGAATCCAAAGTGTTAAAAAGAACAATTCAGTGTTGTGCATTAAACGGTGGTGTATTTTGGGCTAGTATATTGATTTTTGAATGCGGTATATTACCATTACTCAAGTACTTACTAAGCATTATATTTGGTCATTCACCAACTATGGGTATGACTGTATGGTCTTGGACAAAACCATTTTTATCACTGACATTTGGCACTGTATGGGTACTACCCCTATTTCTGCTCAGTAGGATAGTCAACAGTTTATGGTTTCAGGTATGAGTTATTTCCTCTCAGAGCAAGAAATTTTGGCCAATAATAATTGGAAAGGTTAATATTTCATGCTATGTATTTGTAAACCATGTAGGACATAGCAGACAGTGCTTATAGGTATAGACAAGGAAGGCCGTTACTTTTGTCTAGTGTGAGCAAACTTGTAGCTGATACGCTTTTCAGCATATTAGTCCAAGCATTATTTTTGGGGCAAGGAATGTTGGTATCCAGGATTCCATTACCTCCTGTAGGTGATATTCTTGCCCTTATACATATGTGCCTTTTATATGCTCTCTATGCTTTTGAATACAAGTGGTTCAATATGGGTTGGGAGTTACATAGACGGTTAAGTTTCATTGAAAGTAATTGGCCATATTTTGTGGGTTTTGGTCTGCCATTAGCAGTACTTACCCAAATGCCCAATTCTTATGTAATAAGGTAAATAATTATTTCAAATATTACACTTTGCTTTTATTCAAAGAATTTTGGAAAACAGACAACTTTTATTTCAGTGGCTGTGTTTTTTCTATATTGTTTCCATTATTTATTGTGAGCGGAAATGAAGCAGAACCTGTAACTGGAGTATGGTACATATTTTTGGATTACATATCAATTCGGAAATTACTTCCACTTTATGACTTGAATTTATTGTTTCAGTGACTGTCCATTAAAGTTATTTTCACCAGTAATTGCGATTGCAAATACACTTTTCAATAAAACAATTGGACCTGCAAATAGGCGGTGACAGAAAGGGATATAATTTGCAAATTCGTTCGGAGTAATAAATATGTAGCAATAAACCATCTTTTCAGGTTTTTACATATTTTTATTATTTTCTATTAGCTGTATACTTCGTTAATTTTTCTGTATTAACAAAGCAATTAAGAATACAATTTTCATATTATATATGAATATAAACAAAATTTCAAATATAACTTTATGTAATATTATTATATGTAAATAGAAGGATATGTTCACAAATATGATGTACATACGCGGTAAGGAATATCTGTGAATGCTTTATACCGAGTAAAGTGTTATTTAAGATATACACTCATATCTGTAATGCTATTTAGAAAACCAGCATACACGTTCCTTGCTGTATCACACGAGATTAAATTAAAGCTCGCAATTTTATACAGTTTTATTATTAATATTGAAACATAAAAAGATAATGTTAGAATAATATTAAAAATATCTTTTACAAATTATATGCGATAGGAAAACGTCATTGCCTAAAAATTTGCACAAGTGAAAGATATATTTTTCTTGTTATACTTATATAGTACACTTTTCGTTGTAGTAATTAATAAGAAATGTACATGGAATGTTTCTTTTTTCATTCTTAAGTTTCATGTCTTGCTTTGAACAATATGATACTTGTAAGCTTCTAGCGATTAGAATGCTATAGGTATTTCAGTAATTTAATTATATATTCTATTGAAATGATCACGATATAAAAAGTAAAACATTTGTTACATCATAAACATATGTAAATGATTCTAAAGAAATGAAAAAATTTGTAAATATATCGTCTGAGCACATATATTTTATACTACTTAATAATTGTACTTGATATTATATTATAAGAAAGAATTTGTCGTCATTTTTGAAATTGTAAAGCCTTGACTTTTGTTTTACCATAACTAGTCAACTTTAAGACTTAGATTTTAATTTGTGACAATAATGTTTATTTTAAAAAAGAAGTTAGTTTATGTAATTATATTCATAGAATAATGAAGGGTGTTGCATAAAGCAACAAATGCATGTATTCAGGTTGTGCTTACGCAGGAGACGTTTAATTAAACCATGTAGCTTTGTAAGAATATAGTATAATCAAACGAAAGTTTCAGCTCAATATTTGTAAAATTACGATTTTGATTTTTGCAATTTTATTTATACATTATTTTAATAAATGTTACGTTAAAAAAAGATTATTTTATACATTGTAATTTAATAAATATTGCAAAACCATTCTTGAAATAGATATCGACTACTCTACCATTTTTCCATTTTTATATACATACAAGACCGAAAAATTATTAGAATAATTATTTGACAAACTTATATTTTGAGAAGACCGCCTAGAATTATTTTCAAAGTTCGACCATTGCGCCATCTGTACAAAAGCGGCGGAAACTACTCAATAAATTATCGACTTATCGACTGAACTTCCTCGGTAATCGACTCTTCGGCAATCGGTAAGTTAACGAATAGTTTGCGCCGCTTTTATATAGATGGCGCAATAGCCGATGGCTTTGTGGCGACCGACGTCGATGTCGATAAGGCAACCTTTCAAAATTCCCTTTTCAATAAATCTTTTAATTTGTACAACTGAATGTTTTAACTTTTAATCTTTAATATGGGATAAGACCCCATAGTTTGGGGTATTAGGAACCCCGAAGTACCGGCTATGCTCTTTATATATCGATATTATGGCATTCGGGGTGTCAGAGACCCCGATGCATCGGTAACTAATTTAGAAAATAATACTTAATAACAATTAAATTTATACAACATAATGGTACATTAAATAAAAGATTATCTTTCGCAGGAAACAAAGATAGTTTTGTTAATAGTGTAAAAATTACGCGAGAAATTCTTGAAGAGTTAAAAGATCCTTATCATCTGGTTCTTCTTTGATTCGATATGTGCTTGTTAAAGCATAATGCCTATGTAAAGCAGCAAACCCCAATCCCGGATCTGTTTCTTCCTCTGTTATTGGACTTGTTCCTCTTTCTACTGATTGATTTTTACTTACCTAAAGAATACAAAGTCAAATAAAACTTTAATTAAAAACATGCATTCTTGAATTACATACTTCAAATCGCTGCTGTTTGTACATAGCGAGTTTTCGTGTCCCAGGTGTACTTTGTATGAGATTTTGTACAGTAGGATGTGAAATTCCAAAGAAGTCAGCACCCTTTGGTGTTATTGAACGAAGTGCAGGAGAAATTGTCATTAACAATTTTGAATGACACTCATCAGGAGTAGATCCCACCAGTGATTGATCAAGATCATTATCAGATACTATTTCAAATCTAGAAATTTCATCTGTTTTATACTAGTATATAAATTATTTAAACAATTATATACCTTGGTTTTTGTCCACCATCTAATATTTTACATGTATATAAGCTTTTTGTTCTTGGATCTCTTAAGTTGGCATATACTCTAGTACTACAATAACCTACTGGATAAATAAGATCTTCTGTATGATATGCTATTCTATCAGACACTACTTCTCCAAGAGAATAAACAGTGAGATCACCCAAAGCAATAGGAAATATAGGTCTTCCATGTACATCCAATGGTATTAATTGAACTACCTTTCTTATTGTTTTATTGTAACGCTTGGCTTTATGTTTTGTTTCTGAAGAAAAATATGATTATTTGTTCAAATATAATACAACTTAGAATAATATTTTAGTACCTGAACCATCAGTAGAGACTCTTTTCTTTGCAGTCTTTTTAGGTGTAGAACACTCTGTATTAAATGAACCTGAATTAATATTATTTGATTGAGAACGAGCTACCATACTGGAAGGATCTATATCTCCTTGCTGTTGACATAATTTACGCAAAAGGAATAACCTCTCTTCCTTTACTAGCATCAAATTTTCTTGCATTTGTGCTACTTGATCACACAGTGCTGCATTTTCCTAAAATTCCGTTAAACGACAACTGTTATTCTGTTACAATCTACTCTATTTTATTTTAGATATTGATTTATTCCTACGAAATAAAAAATCATTAACTACTGTGATAAATATAATCTTACAAATACTGTATCCTTTATTATCCTTTTTAGTCTTCGATATTTCTTTTTATATTTCAGATTTTGCTGTAACTCTGCATTTTTTTGAAAATCATTATAATAGCTATCATAAGCCTGTGTCATTTTAAATGCATTAAATCAAAACACTAAATAATTAAAGAGGTTATGGTGATGATAAAAAAATAATCAATTTCATCAGTGACTACGCTGCAACAAGATTAGACATGCCTTTGTTTTCGAGGGGTTATGATTTTGGGTGTCCCAGGCACCCGAGCTTATCTGAGGCACTGACTACAGATCTAACAAGACTAAACGAGCCTTTATTTTCAGAGGGTATTGAATTTGTGCCTTGAGAACGAAGTCCTCACCCTTCCCTGGTATTTATTATTTTTCTCTCTTTGTGCGCCTCACGGAGCCCAACACTGTATACCTCATATGCCTGCATTCTCTACATCTCTACATCTGTTACATTTCGGCACCTGTTACATGTCTGCATCCCTTACATCTCTGCATCTCTTACATCTCTGCATTCCTTACATCCCCGCAACCCTTACGACTCTGCATCACTTACATCCCTGCATCCCATACATTCTTGTTTCACTTATACTCCTGCATCTCTTATGTATCTCACCACAGATCGGAAAATTGTGATGAATTTAATTCCCATTTTCGCCGCCAGATGGCGCTGTACCGAGCCGCGAGAATTAGTTCAAATTTTTGCCGCCAGAGGGCCAAAATTGATGCATGGTTTAGTTCCCCTTTTCGCCTCCAGATGGCGCTGTACCGACGCGCGAAAATTAGTTCAAATTTTTGCCGCCAGAGGACCAAAATTGTTGCATGATTTAGTTCCCCTTTTCGCCACCAGATGGCGCTGTACCGACGCGCGAAAATTAGTTCAAATTTTTGCCGCCAGAGGGCCTAAATTGTTGCATGATTTAGTTCCCCTTTTCGCCACCAGATGGCGCTGTACCGACGCGCGAAAATTAGTTCAAATTTTTGCCGCCAGAGGGCCAAAATTGTTACATGATTTAGTTCCCTTTTCGCCACCAGATGGCGCTGTACCGACGCGCGAAAATTAGTTCAATGTTTTGCCGCCAGGGGCCAAAATGATTGCACGATTTAGTTCCTTTTTTCGCCGCCAGATGGCGCTGCATCGATGCGCGAAAATTAGTTCAAATTTTTGCCGCTAGAGGGCCAAAATGGTTGCGGGGTTTAGTTCCTTTTTTCGCCGCCAGGGGGCACATTGCAAAGATGATTGGGCTGCTGAGACGTAAGGGATGCACAGGTGTAAGAGATGCAGTGACATAATGAGTAGAGGGAGGTAAGGGACGGAGTTTATAGAGCGTAAAGGGCTGGAAGGGGCACAGGGGAGGGTGTATGGGGTATTGATTTGTAAGGACCTACCTCAACATCGACCGCGCGGCCCCTCAAGTCAGAAGCGTGGCCGCAGTACCGCAGGAGGCCGGGACTGGGGCCCCGGTTTCCACTGCATGCGGCACGAGGAGTGCCGGCATTGGGTGTGGCCCCCGATGTCGGCGGAGTTTGGCACACGATGTAGGGGCGCCGATGCGCCAGTAGCTGGGGGGTCCCGGTGTGTTCGTTAGAGATCCTGGGACCCTCCCCATAGCCCAGTGCAGGCCACCGTGGTGGTTTTAGTGGGTAAAAATCCCACACTACCTCCGGCCCCTCCCCAGGGGGCTGGAGGTGTCTTTCTGAAGATTTCCACCACGTAAAACAAAAAAAAAAAAAAAAATGTAACGGATACAGATTAACAAGGGATACGGGGATAATTTACAATTTCATAAATTAGTTTAATATGACTTATAATTAAACAGTTATTGAATGTTATGTAAATAAATAATTGAAAAAAGAAATCGAGTACATTAAATAGATAAAAGGAAAGAAGAACTTAAGTGAATTAGATGAATAAGTGAGAAAAAAACGATGTGTAATTAATAAATATCTCTGAATGGAAATTGTGTAAATTAAATATATAAAAGAAATTGGGTAAATTAAATAATAATTCAGTTGCTGTTTTAAAATGATTTATTTACCAAGACACATAATAGCAAAAGGAACGTCTTATTTATGCTTGGACCGAATAAACAATACATAAAGTATTGGTTTCGAATCGATAAACTCTTTTTCATAATACTATGTAATAATTTTATAATGTTTTATGTAGTTAAACATATGGTAAAAAACAATGATACTTTTTATTTACAAGTGATTTGTCTTGTCGAATTTGATAAAATTTTATACCTAAATAAGTCAGACAAAATCAGCACAAGACCGGAAAGTTATTAGAATAATTATTTGACAAACTTACATTTTGAGAAGACCGCCTAGAATTAAATATTTTTAAAGTTTGATCACTGTGCCATTTATATAAAAGCGGCGGAAACTACTTACTTAATAAATTACCGACTTATTGACTGAACTCCCGACAGTCGGTAAGTTAACAAATAGTTTGCGCTGCTTTTGTATAGATGGCGCAATGGCCGATGGCTTGGGGTGTTAGGGGCCCCGAGGCAGCGGTGATACTCTTTGCATAACATTATGGTATCCAGGGACGCTAAAATATGCGACCCATAGACTTTCTATAGAAAAATTGAAACCTCGGTTTTGAAATTTTTTATGGCAAGGAAGAATGCTAATTATATGAACACGTGGGATCTCTATTAATAATAATTAGAAATAGCGCTTGTTATGTACAATTGATAACATATCGTTTATAAATATTATAAAAATCAGGACGTATTCTGTTCTTTCCAAGCTGCAAAATTCGGTGATTGACTCGTGTGTATCGTGCAATTTGTCATTTCATTTCTGAAAATTACATTTTCTTACCTATAATTAATTTTCACCTTAGAGTGTATTTTATTAGAAACATGGTACTTACAAAAAACGATCTCTAAGAAGAAATGCTCTAGGCTGTATCCAGTGTAACCTTTCGCCATTGTAACACAAGATCTGTGCCATTTTAATTTTCCTAATTTCTTCTAATTGACTCAGCGTGAATGATCCTGGACTATTCGCATTTTCGTACCAATATCTATCGCCTAAGAAACGTATTCTCATAATAATGAAAGTATGTGTTTTATAAAAATTACTTACCCAAACGAAGATTTCGAAAAGTACGACCTAATAAGCAAAGGAACGTTGGTCCCAAAACAGAATTAGGTAAAGGTGCTTCGGAAAGTGCCCCTGTTACTAAATCTATATCTTCTGTATTTCTGTGAAAAGAATTTTCGTCACACCTCAGGGTAGTGTATCTCCTTGATATAAAGGACGATAATAGAAACTTGCAAATGTTTCCTTACCGGTAAACTCTTCGAAGTCTATTTATGGTATCCTTGGCCATTAACCCTCTAAGATCGTCGAAATTATTGATAGGTGATAAATTACAGAAAGATCGCCATCTGACATAAGATGGTAAACCGTGATCCCTTCCTTGTTGTATGATCTGGGCAGCATAATCCACCGCAATATCGTTGCTCTTTCCATCGTGGAAATATCGTTCCAAAAGGATTTCATTCAGTCCCGGTGGTAATGGCTTCCTAGAATGTCCAGCTGTCGCGGAAATTAAATCTTGCATCCTAGGTCGTTATTAAAGCCAAACTCTCATGGGACAACGTGTTGGAAAAGTCGCTAACTTAAATTTCATTCAATTTCTATTTGAATATACATAAAACGAAAACAAGTGAAAATTTAATTAAAATGAAGAGGAAGAATTCCTCCTGGAAGTAGATTTTTTTAAAAGAAGAAAATAAACAATGATTTCAAAGAATAATAAATCTGTATAAAGAATAATTATTCTTCATATGACTCTTCGTGTTCTCCGATATGATTACACAATTCAGTTCAGTGACCTTTGCGCATGTAAGAAAGTAATGATGTAACTGTGATGTATGATTATAGAGCTCTATACGATACTTTCGAATGTAAAGAGCTGTGTGCCATTTAAAGGAACATCAGCTTCAAATTTCAAATTGAAAGTTTACAATTATCAATATAATAGCAATGCTACTTAAAGTAATTCAACTTCAACTGACCTGTAGCACCAACGATCAAACGATCAATAGCACCAGCTTCATAGAACTCTTGGGGAGCGTAGAAGGCCGATAGTAAAGACCTTTCTCCAGACTTTAACGCCGATCGCGAGTCAACTAGGTCGAGAGTTTTTGGGGTCAACGTGGCAATGAAGAAGAGCCCAGCGGAGGCGACTGAGTTTGAGAGTGTCGCATCCGTTCGGGTATCGTATCCTCGAAAATATCCTCGGTTTGTTAAACGTAACTGGTACCTTTCGATATTCACGAAATTAATCAATTTTCATTATTTATCATCGTTCCAATCAAGACAACTCTCGAATAATTTTTCTAAATCAAATTATAAGAGCCATTCGTTCGATAAAAATGTTAATTAACAATGGCATTAGAATTTCAAAAAATTGAACTCTCGAAAGCATATTAATGTAATAATAATTAATAAAAGAATGAAAAAGTGCATAAGAACGGATTGAAAAGTTTTGTTGAATTCGTTTGCCGAACGAGTGGAGCCTGTTAATCCGTGAAATTAATTATAAAGGTAAAAGAGAGTACACGTACTTGTCGAGAGTTGTTTCGCCGAGAACAACGGGCAGAAACTCGTTATAAGTTATATGCTCCATTTCCGCGATAACGATCCTTCTTGCTTCCTGGTAGAGTCTCTCGTCGTCCCAGTGAGGATTCAGTTGTCCCAGCTCTGTTGCCACTCGGTTATGTTCACGTAGAAAAAGTACGTGCATTAGAGTGAGACCGGGATTCTCGTTTACCCGGGAATCCCCGCTAAGAAAACACGGGAAAGCTTTGTTCACGCTTCTGCAACTTTCGTACTTGGTCGAGGGCATGGGCAAGTTCTTCCTTTGCGTATTAAGTAAACCACCCTTGCCGGATCGTAGCACTTTTGCTACCTCCTCCGAACTCCCATAAACCGGGGAAAGGTCTAAGTACGACGTTGCTTGGTTGATTTGTTGTCGGGGACCCAATTTGCAACCCTAAAACAAAACAAAAGTTCTATTAGATATAATTCAACTACCAAATTAAATTAACCTTTTATTACTAAATGATACCCCTTTAAAAGTTAATTCATCATGATTAATCGTTTCTATTATCAAATTTCTGCAGAAACTACGATTCAAAGAAACATCTATATTACTTGTAAAGAGTTTCCTGGGTGCGGCGCCGATCTGGAATATTCCATGCACCCAACAGCATTATCAGCTCGGATTGGAAAGCATTCCGGATGGAAATGTTCGTAATCGACGTCGCAACATTTCAACTTCGCTCCGTCGGGTAATTCCATCTTGGGCGTGTGCGCTAGATCGTGGACAAGAAACTGTCCAAATAAGGCGGTCAGTGCCATTAAATATGGATGTTTAAGATCCGATCCTCCGGAGTGTACCCTCGAAGACACCTCCCTGGCGCTGGGCAAATCTATCCGAGGTAGAGAAACACCGTCCACGTATTCGGCTGGTAAGAATCTCACGTAAGCTTCCATAGAGGCACCCCAGGTCGGATGTAAAGCATTGTTACATTTTCCGGTGTGCGTTCTGTAACGAGGATCTACATTCTTGCAGCTGTTCGTCAGTTGCAAAAATGTCGGCGAACCGGAACAGCTGATGGCAGCCACCGAAGGTAATACCGATGATGCCTCTTTGGAGGACATGTTCAAAGCCTCCACCAACATCACCGCCATTGTTTCGATACGCAATGCCTTCCTCGACAGATTTTGAGCGTGTTCGGTCATCTCGTGCGAGGCACCTAGGAACCATGACGGTGAACCGTGATTCAGATGGGTGTGAGAAGTGAGAATCGCTTGTTCCGCTTGATGGTACTTCTCCATCGATATATTCGTACGTCTGCCCAGATCCAGCAACATGTTGGACGGTAGTATCGTACTCTCGACCAGTACGAACAAGGCGAGCAATCTGCGAATCGCAATCTAAGGATAGGAAATACAAACTTGTTCGTGCGCATAGCTGGAAAATGGAGGATTAAAGCACCAAGGGTGAAGGTTTTACAAAGGCTGCATCAGTGGGGGCTGATAAATATTTTGGTAGTGGTGGAGTTGTAGTAATAAAAGTACTTATTAAAAATTGTAAAAAGTAAAAATAATAAAAATTGAAACATTTATTTTGTGTAATTTTATATTGGAACCCTGCATCCCTTATGGGAGAGTTACCACAGGGTTGAACTCTGGGACGAATGGAAAGTTAGCATTTCGAAAATTAATTATAATTGATAGTGGAAGCGAACTGTTGGGTTGCTTGTACAGAAAAAAGGTTAATTACAATGGTAAATGGTTGAAAGGAATGGATCTATGAGAACAGAAAGCACTTGCCCAACAGCAAGTATTTACTCAGGGGATCTTGCAATAATTCTAGTTACTTGGAGAGTAATCATCTGAGAATAAACTTATCAATTATATATAATAAGGTTGGAGATAATATCTTTGGCATTCGTGTCGTGGGAACATAATGATCTATAAAATGTTTCAATGTTCTGGTCTTAGAATTTCTAAGTTTCCAAGGAGATCGTGAAATCTGAAGTTCAGTATACATAATTTACTTGAGACTGATAATGAAAAAGAAAAATGGTAAAATTTCAATAATTGTAATAATTCCTTGAAAACTGAAAATTCACTATAAAATGACGTCTCTAAAAAACCTACGACATCATGAAAACAGAAAAGGTGTTGAGAACACCATAGCAATTTTACCTTCCTCCAGTGAACTCGTGAGAAATCATTTGTGACTACAACTATACAATGACTCCCCACATCGAGACATTGCCTAATAATTATTATGCAAATTCAATGCATGTTTTATAACAAAACTCAACAATAATGAGACAGGATCCATAATTAAAAGTACAATTGTAGGGTGGTATTTGGATGATAAGTCTCTACATCTGCACTGTAAATGAAATTAACCAACTTCTTACACGATGCAACCAAGGAAACGAGAATATTCACACGATTTTCTACTAAATTAAGTTTCTCGTTGGTAGAATAGTCAGGCTAATGAATTAGTCGATAGGGAGAGCATCGCGTGACTCGTTTCAACATTTATCGCAAGAATCACAATGAATCTTCGAGACCTTGTACAACTGATGGCATTTCGCTTGGGTCGTATTGTTTATCTCATTAAATCCATTCATCGATTTCACCTATGTTCTGAAGATAAGTCTTTCGATTAGGTCCTTTTTTTTGGTCTCAAGAGAAGACCGAGGACACGCTGCTTGACATTTAAGCTCCTTCCTGATTCTTTTGTGATTTTCTTACGTAATCTTCGTTGTTCCCGTGATTAGTGTTCGTATAAATTGATGGCAGCCATTATCTAGCTACGTGATTCGCTTTTACTAAAGAAACTTTTTAGAATCGTTAATTCTCTTCTGACACCGAAACCGAATGGTCGCACACGTGCTACGTGCCTTATTCGATTATTCATTTTACGGCAATAATTTTAATAAAAAGAAGGCGTTTAATGACTTTTAATTTAACGAATTAAATTATTATTTAGTAACTAAAAAGATTGTGAAATTATTTTATTACAAAAATAAGCCACGGTATACAAAATCATTTTATACAAACATGTGTTATTAAACAGTACCATATAATTAGCCTTTTAATTAATTTGTAATATTTAAAAGAAACTTTATATATGGATAATAGTTAAAGATGCGATTATTTCTAAAATAATCGATATAATAGTAATACTATTCGGAATAATATATTTCTTTAATTATTTAAACATATTTAATTTGGGGTACCGGTCGCCGTTATCTAAGTCCATTTTCACTGGGCAATTACCGTGTTAATTTAAGAAATAAATTGATAGTATTTTAAATATTTGCAGTTACAATGCGTTTTCACTCAGACATTTAACGTACTAAATACTCTATAAAAAAAAATAGCTTTAGGGTTGCGTTATCGATCATCCCAAAGAATTAAAGAGGACTCACCGTGATAGGAAGGCGAATGTACCGTTGATCGGTCTTCGTTTCATTTTTTCAAAACTGTAGCGTTAATCCACGATGAAATTCATTTGAATTGTCGTAATAGTTACACCGTGTGTTATGTGCAAGAACACGAAGCTGCAAAGCTGAACTAAGACCGATCCTCGAACGAAAGTAAAACTCTACCAGTCCTGTCCAGTCGGATCCAAAGAGTGGGGCCCCGTGCGAGGATAACGGTAATATAGGGTGTCAACAATATACAGTGTGTTCTACAGTTAAGAGATACGGTAAGAGTGTTGCATCGTTGGTTGCATTGGTGTTACGAGCAAGACCAAGGTTCACCTTTCATAGAATCAAATCCATAGTCGCGGTTGGACGTACAGTTTCAAGGACCACCGACTTGTGTTCGTACTTTCCTATCTTAGCTTGTGTGGATACATCCTGCGTGTTGCTCCACTACATATTTCAGATTTTTTTTTTTAACGATACAGTGCCATTGCGCTATGGTAATCGACACGGGCTTGACCGTAATGTCGGCTAAGGATTAACATTCTTGGAGACATCGCGAATGATCAACTGCATTATACCGCCTACGATCTTGCCTCAAGAATCCAGAAAAGGATATTATGCGTCGTGTGCTGTTATTTGTGTCGCGCGTGGGAAGACGTACTGAAAAATATAATCTAAAGAATGAAAGAGTTTTTGTGAATTGTCAGTTGCCTTGGAAATAGAAAATTAAAATATATTTTTAATGTTGAAAAGAAAGCTTACTCCAAATGCTATTACCACTATTCTATAGATGTATCTTTATTTGATTAGTAAATCATAATTTATGTTGGAAACTCAGCTACATCTCATGGATCCAGGGTCTCTATGTACTTGAAAAATAAAACTGTTATTCAGAGGCCTTGAGCACTTTTATTTTCGCTCCCTGTGCCGCTGCTTACATTTCCACTTTCCTTACTATGCTCTCATAGCAATCACTTATTTTAAATCGTACTGAAATTATCTATAGTTTCATTTGTATTTAGCGTTAACATTTATTGCTTAAATTACAGAAGTCGATTCTAAGAATGAACATCGTCCGTGTTATCGAGAACTGCCCCACTGTATGCTAAATCCCAATAATGTTCGACCTGGTGTTTCTTAAAGTGCTCCCGAGCCATCTTTTCGATCGGGCAAACCTTAAATTTGATCTCGCCGAAATGACGTTGTTTACTAGTACCTTCCCATACGAGTACACATTTGTTTGGTACATCGTTTCCATCATTGTCTTTTATGATGTCCTCCTCCCATTTGATGCGATGCATCATCAATCGTTTATATTTACTCAATTGCTTTGCTCCTCCTTCTACTACAACAACGTTACAATCCCGAAAGAGCATTACACAACCTGTGAGGTAAAGCTGTTTCGCGTTTGTTTCCACTTTGAATTTCTTTGAAGCGTTGTTTACGAGATCACGTATTCTGCAACAATAATAGTAATCACGTATAATCAGTATAATATAACTTTATAATTATTTATCTTGTTTTAAATGTACCTATAAACGGCCACGTGTACACCAAGCGTAGTGTCTTCCTTAAGTTTCCTCGCTTTCTTTTCACGCCGCTGATCAGCAGTGAGTCTTCGAGCCGCATTAGCATCCTCATGTGCCTTTAATCTTTTAGCCATTTGTTGCCGGACATGGGCTTCGATTTTAGTGGGGTCTTGTACGGCTTCTGTACCTAATACTCGCATAAGATTCGAAATCCGCAATTTTGGTTCCGGTGGCGGCTCAAGACCTAATCGAATCTTCTCCTGTTCCTCTTTCCACGCCTCTCGTCTATTTTGTCTACGCAATTTTTTACGTTCCTTCTTTGTTAAAAATACGGGCATGTATATTGGTTTCAATGGATCGGCTAAAATAATAAAAAAATAGTTAATTACTATCTACTAAGGAAATTAATATTTATTAAGAAATACGTACTTGGCGGTCGCATTTGTGTAGGATGTTCAACAAGATTAGTAATAGTAGAATTTTTAATAGTTGTAGGTTCATCTTCATTTGAATACCCTCCTGTTAATATAACAGAATCCCACCATTCTACATTAGGCACATCTTCGCTAAGAGCTTCAGTTTTTGGCGCTATGAGCGCTAACTTTGTCGCTGAACTTATACCAGTTTTTCTAGCTATCTGACTAATTTCATTTTGCAATTTTTCCAACTGGGCTTTCATACGAATTCTTTCTGCCAACTGTTGGAACTTTCCAGGTTCGTGGAATTTCAACGTACGCTTGCCTCGAATCGCAGGTTTCACACCTATTCTGGTATCGAAAAAGTGCGTATCCTGAATTTCTTCAGGGCCTTTAGATTCTTGTAACTGTGCTTTGAATTCTTCGCGTTTCTTTGCGCGAATGTTGGCTTTTAACGTTGGCACTACTTGAGTAAGTTGCACTTCTTTGCCAGTTATATCTACAGTTCTTCCAGACTCATCTAAGATCAATGGAGTTGGTTTGTCTGGTACATTGACGTTACCAAGTAACCCTGAACTTAGTTTACTTCTAATTTGAGCTTGTAAAGCAGCAATTTTTCGTGCTTTGTCCGAATCTGTTTTACTTAATAAACCTTGATTATACATGCTACCCACTGTTGGTAATGAATCACGTGCTTTTAATAAGGGCTTAACTGGTGCTGATTCTTCTTGTTTTATAGCTTTCAATGCCCTTTTCCTTTCTTCAATTTCTCTTTGGGCATTAGCCATCATTTGTCTTATTTTGTCTGCTGAGAGCTGTGCCTCTGTTGTTTTTTCATTTTTCACCTCATCATCTTTGAATCTAGGCTTCTTTGCGTCTTTATCTTTATCTTTATCTTCCACATGATTACGTTTTTTACTTTTCTGTGCTGCTCTAGCATCATCGTATATAGCAAATATTTTCTCAGTTAATTTTGAAGCCTTTTTGTCTTCCAACAATGCAGATAATTTATCTGAAAAATATTAAATTACTATATTAATACCTTCAGTTAATATGACTGAATAATTTATTTAATTTATTACTGACCTGCTGTTTTGCGTTTATCATATCCAGAAGTAATACAATTGACAGCAGTGGTAACAATAGCAGGTTCTCCAAAACCAAGAAATTTATGAACCGCTTTTTCAATTTGTGGTTTCATTTCGTCTATTTCCTTTCTCGTTAAATACGACATCTTTTCAGGTTTGTTGCAAACAGTTTCTTTAAAAAGCCTTATAACTTAGTACAAAATTATTTACTTCACAACATAACCTCTATAAATTATAAGGTTAGGTATCGCATTTCAGTCATGCTATCAATTAGAAACGGTTATTTCATATTCTATACAGCACCAAATGTTCAACTAATTTCGATAGGATTGCCATGATATTTGTTTATAACGTAATGTTGGTATGTAAATTAAATCTCATAATCCACTATCATCGACATCACATTGGAACACCGTGATTGTTATTTGGCTATGTTCAGGTATTTCCCAATTCTCAGCAAGTGTTACCAATCCCTTATCGAAAAAAACACTTAAAAATTACGAAACTATGAATCTAGGAATATATGCGAACTTACAAAGAACATTACAAAGCTTGACGAGCGTCAATTCAAATTAAATTTGAATATGTAGTACTCGAATGTAGTACTTTTATGGATATTTCTTTTTATCGTCCAATTTGAAAGGGTGGAAATAGCTTTTGAATGGAAAATGTTGAAATGTACGACTACTGTATTTTTGCATGCTAAATTCATTTATATAAACAGACTTACGAAACAGTAATTTGTTTAAAATATATTTGACGTTTCGTACTATCAAAGAGTAGTTCAGGAAATGAAGGAATTTGGGTGCTGGAGAAGAGAGAGCTTTTGGATGTTTGAGAGGAGACAGTTCCTATATGAGATCAATTTGTTTTTTTAGTATTTTCATAACAAAATATATTTATATGAAAAGATGCGAACTAAACCTAATGTTAAATTTCTCGCAGAATGAAATGCGTTATATTTAAGAGTTTGTAGGATAAAATGATAAAATATTACCTAACAGAAGAAGGCTGCGGTAAATCATGTTAAGCTTTTAGATGAGATCGATAAGACTCGCAATATAAGGTAAACTTGTTAGAAGGAAATATATGAAGGCGTAAGGGGACGAAAGCAGTTTGCGGGGAAACGGAATGGCAGTGGACCGACGACCGCAAATGAGAATGGTAGAGAGAACTACGGTGTTCCACGCTTCTCTGGTGACCGATGAGGCCAATTCATGGAACCACATTTGTTTCATTCGAGGCTGTTGTTCGAAACTTTTCTGTTAATTGAAACGAAGAAATTGGAATACTGCTAGTCAAACGGTTATCTTAGACCACTGCCGGATGGGAATTTTACAAAAGGGAGAAAAAGGTACACCACAGGCGTGGACAAGCGGTATGGGAAATCGATTTAGGATGGCAGAGAAATGTACATTCATTAGACCACTTTAAATGGTCTCAAGGAAGCTTACCTGGTTCGAACTGTACAAAGCCGATTGGTAGCTGTAGCTGAAAGGAACGTTGCAGTTTTTACAGTCGCTGAAATATCTCTTGCTCGAGATACCATGGGCACTAAATAAATTATTACGAAATAAATTGCAAACGAGAAGCTGCAGAAAGATTGCAGAAATAGTTGCGTTACTTTAAAATTAATGAAAATGGAGATTGGATCAATTAATTACACAATTAATAAAAAGAAGTATAATGTAGTTTCAGAAGAAACTTCAAATGCCATTTTATCTTAAGAATATTGATGAAACGTTTATGTAATCATTTTAATTAAACTTTAAGCTAAAAATTGATATGCTATAAGTGCTATTTTATGAAACTTTTATGTCATGTAATATTAGATTTTATAATATCGTCTACCATTTTCAAATTTCAAATGTAACGATCAGTCTCGTGTACACCCTATCCTACCTCCTGCATGTTGGGAAGCGTTTCCATCGAATTACATTTGTAATTTATTTGGATGACCGGGCTTTTTTCTCCGCGGCCCAGGGTAACTCGCACACCTTGATAGTTATATCCGAATTCTAGCACAGAGGAAAATGTACATCGCGTGGTGCCACTAATATTCAGTCAGTACGTATCGGGCCAGCCGTGTTTCTTCGTGAATTTAACGATTTTACCAGCAGACGTGGCCACGTCCCGAAGTGATGTACGGTTCGCTCGTATGACTCGGCAGCTAATGCTTTAATATGCGCAAAGGGTGCCATGCCTGTGTCACGCGGATTACCGCTAATTGTAGTTTATGCTTTATACTATGCTATTCTCTGTACGTTCTGTCGAGCGTTGGGTATTCGATATATACATATACAGAGAATCCCTTGTGTTTACTTGTATATCAGTGAACGAACCTTCCCCAGGGTACCTAAGTACATATCCGTACAACAATTTGTATTTGCTGGATCTTGTTGTGTTATGTATCAGATACAGTTTGTACAAGTTGCTCGTTTCTGTTGACGACAATGCTGTCATTCAGATCAGACGGTTCTTTGGGAAAATTTGGAGAGTTGGAAAGTTTTGACTATCAAAATGTTTATGCGCTTAATTCCTTATTGCTTATTAATTTATTTTTTAAATGTATATCTTTGTAAAATAAAAATTCTCATATAAATAGAATTTATTATAAATGTAATTGTGTTAAATTGCTAAATGAGATTAGAATTGCAAAGATGACTTCGTTTTAATTAACGTTTCGTCGTGCGCTTATAACTGTTCACGTTATATTAACGTTTAAATGCATTGCATGTATTTGGTCATTTTGAAGTTAATTCGATTAAACGAAACCGAGATATCTATTCATATGCACGAACGTTAGCTACAGAAGCGCAACGCTAATTAAAGCTAGTAGGTGTTACGATCCTCTTAAATGGATTCGTTACTAGATACCTTCATGATGTGCAGGGTAAAATCGAAATTTCAAAGAATTACAGTTAATATTCGTTAAAACAATCAAGCTTAAATAAATTTAAGTTCTAAATTATACATTAGGTCAACAAAAACCTAACTCTGGTATTTGAGGGTTGAATAACCAAAACTATACATACTAATTAAAATATTAAACTATTAAGTAATCAAAGCAAAATTGTACTTATCCTTTCTGCTCCTATTTCATCTAATGCTACCCTAAAATAATTATATCAAAGTTATAAAAAAATGCTGCGATATCTTTTTTAAAATTCTATCTATCAAGTTGGTAATAAAAGTCAAATTAAATGAATTCGTATCGTATATCAGCCACATCTTTATTCAAACTAATTTCACGTTGCATGGATATAACTTTTACTATCAACCAGCTTTTAACGGCTTGTTAAAACATAATATGTAAAAAGGAAACCGTAAACTCTACACAGTGTTTTCTGGGATGATATGCTTGATAATGTCAGACAAAACTTATGCTTCTGTTGTATCGTTAATCTTCTGGTCAGACTGGTACACTTGTTCGTGTTCCACGCTTAATCTACTTATAATCTACAATATTCTTAGTATCTCTGAATAAGCTCGCCGTATCTTGTTCAAGATTTTTATCAAACGGCAATATATTATTGTTTATTCATGATGGTATAGAAATCTTGATTAGAGAAGTTCATAAAAACCAGGTGGACAGGGAATAATAAAATCGTAAAACTGGTTAAAGGTATAATTTATTGTTCGTTCACGTGTATCGTTTAACTTTTAGTTTCTCTTCGTGAACGATGACAAAAGATTATGCTTCTAAGGTCTATATTTCAAAGATTAATCATGGCTACCATAGAAAGTAATTAACCAAAAGTCTTTTATCAAAATTGTGCAATAATTTTAAAAATCATAGCGAATTAGTATAATATTTTTTCTCACCTTTTTTAGAAAATTAATACAATCATCAAATTTAAACATTACATTAGAATTATATTTAAACAAATTTATTTTTAATATTAATAATGGTTTAATGAACACCACGCGTCAGTTGTGGACGGGTTATGCTAATTAAAATAACAAGATACATTTTCTATAATATATTTTACATTATAAACCAACCATACATCATCATAATAATATCTTATACTCTTAAGCCTAAGCGTGTTTTTAATCCTATATTCCCGTTTATATACTTCCTTCATATTTATACTTTGTTTACTTCTTCATAGTATTTATATATATATTTTTTTTATTTATTTATATTCATCATTATTTATAATATACTTTATACGCTATATTATGTATATATATAATATCATACATGTTTTCTTTTTTTTTTTTCTTAATTTCACGCACGTCCCAGGGCGTCTCGCGTTTTTTCATTCTTAACATCCTTTGAGAATTGTCTTTTGGAGGTATCTATCCTTATCTTTTTTTATTTTTTTCTTAAACCACGTGCACGTGTTCATTTATTTCATCTGGTAAAAGTGTCTGTCCGTCACGTCTATTACTTTTCTTATTTCTGTGTACCGGTGTATGTAAGTGTGTGTCTGTGTTACAAATTACATGTACATTATTACAAGATTTTCTTTGCCCTGACGTTGTATCTCGAAGCTGTGGCTAAATTGTATGCAACGAGGCTGCCATGGGACCCCATAGTCTTAAATCATTATTTCTTCTGAAAGTTACCGGAAAAGGATCTCACCCCTACCCTCGAGTTCCGGCGATACATAATTTTTCTCCATTTTCTTTCTCGTTTCTTTGTTTTTTTTGTTTTTGTTTTTTGACCTCAAAATACATACACACGATGAAGTGAAAAAAGGCACCTTACTCCTTAGCGTACGGTCGTAAGTGATATGCCGCGTACCGCGCCGAGAGATCGGGGTGAAAGTCGACCCATGATATAATTGAGGGTCTGTTTGACCCGCAGGTCGTAGGAAAACTACGAAACAACGAAGGAACGTCGTGATCACGTTACTGTAATTGTAATCCTCGCACGACTGATGCTGGGTCATTTCAAACCCAATTATATAAATAAAGAAGATTTATTTAACTAACTATTACTACTTTGATTTAAAATTTGCCATTTTATTTGAACAATAAGATAAAAGGATTTACAAATTAATAATCATAAAATTAACATAAATAAAAATTCTACCCTGCTCCTTTTATATAATGTTAATTTTAAATATAAATATAATACAAATTCTCTACGCAAATCAGCCTTTAAATCTGAATATAATTACGGGTCAAAATGACCCTGCATCGATCTGTATCTGAGAGTTTCTCTTCTCGAATCATTTTTTAAATTCTTCTTTCGCACATTTATTTCATTCATTCTTATACGGATGCATACTTACATTTTATCCTTCCGTGTCATTTTTTTTCCTAATTTCCTTTCGATCTACTCAATATAGGTGTTTTAAAGGACTGATGGGGTCGGTCAGGCTAGCCGTAACATCCTTCCCGTACATCGTCTGAATTTGTTTTCAAGTTATCTTACGGCTAAAAGGTATTTAACACAGTACATCGCGGCGTACGCTTTTTAACAGGTGTCGCGTT